TCATCTGAAAGGTATTGTAAGAGTGAATATTTTGAAAACACTCAGTAAGAAGACGTACACATCCTTATTCACATGATATAAATATAAAACTGACATAACATACCAATATTTCTTAGATTTAGAACTCAAAGAATTTCTTAAGAATCTTCATATTCCACAGGATTTAAAATCTTTGACGAAATGGTCTATCCCGTAGGATTTAACATCTTTGACCTAATGGTCCATCCTGAAGGATCTAACATAGAGTTCGACCCGAAGGCCTTATAGCATTTCATGCCAAAAATTATACAAACATCAAGGAATAAGAATTTACTACTTTGCACGATATATTCTTACCTCAATTAACACCCAAAATTTTGAAAAAATTGGTTTGAAATGATAATGTGAAAGTGAATAGTGTGTATTAAAATAAAAATGAACTTGTGAAATTTATAACACAAAACACTCTCACCTCACACCCTATATATAATCACTGGCATGTAACCTTCAAGGAATTCAAAAGGTTGGTGACATAATTCAAATTCAATGAGGTTACTTATGACTTAATCAGGTTAATTATTTTGGTAATTATGTTAAATATCTTTTCAAATTCCTACTTGAAAGTTCGTCTATTTTTTCTTTGCTTTTATTATTATTATTATTATTATTTATATTAATAAAATATTGAAGGTTAACACATTTCTTTTTATTAGGCCCATATAAAAAATAGTAAAAAAGTTCGGGGTGTTACGATATTAATGCAGGATAGGATACCTTTGGCTTACATTAGTAAAGCCATTGAAATAAGGAGCTTGGAAATGTCAATATATGAGGATGAAATCTTGGCCTTAGTTATTGCAGTAGTGAAATGGAGACATTAATTGGAAGGTCACCACTTCGTCATCAAAATTGACCATCAATCCTTGAAGTTCTTGCTTGAATAGAGGATAACTTCTCCCTTATAGCAAAAATGGCTAACTAAATTGATGGGTTTAGATTATGAAATCCAGTGCAAAAAAAGGGATTGAGAATGTGGTAGTGGATGTGCTCTCTAGGAGGGTAGAAAATGATGGGAAGTGTGCTGTCATTACCCAGCTAATACTTGCATGGGTACAGAAGGTGTTTTCTATTTATGAGGGAGATGATTTTGTTGAAAAGAATATCCAAGCCTTGCTTTTAGATCCAGTTGCAGAACCTGAATATCAATATAAAAATGGGTTGATTAAGTACAAGCATAAGTTGTATGTTGGCAGTGGGAAAAATATCAGGAAGAAATTGATTCAGGTTATACATAACTCCTAAGAAGGGGGCATTCTGGAATATAGGCCAGTATATTTAGAGCTAAACAACAATTTTACTGGTAGGCATGACACAAGAAATCAAAAGAGAGGTGTTACAATGTGGCATTTGCCAGAAATGTAAGGATGAACACTTACCATATCCAAGCTTGCTACGGCCTCTTCTTGAACCTCAACATTTGTGGAGTCATATATCTATGGATTTCATTGAAGGGCTACCAAAATTTGAAGAAAATGATGTCATCTTAGTGGTAGTAGACAAATTTATCAAGTACGACCACTTTAGCACTCTTTCTCATCCTTTGACAGCAAAGAAGTTGGCACAAATATTCTTGGATCATATTTATAAACTCCATGGCATGCCTCAGAGTATTCTCTTTGACAGGGACAAGATTTTTACTAGCATCTTTTGGCAGAAGCTATTTAAACTCATGGAGACTAATTTGCAGCTCAGTTCAATGTACCACCCACATATAGATGGCCAAACAGAGAGGATAAACCAGTGTTTGGAGTTGTATCTCAGGTGTTTGACACACCACAGACCTAAAGCATAGGCTAAATGGGTATCTTTAGCCGAGTGGTGGTACAATACCACTTTTCATTCAGCCATAAAGAGAACACCTTTTGAGGCTCTATATGGGATTCTACCACCATAGTTAGCTATGGGACCTTATCAGCAAACAAGTGTTGCTATGGTGGAAGATGTTTTACAAGAGATGTATAAGATGGATCAACAATTAAAGGAGAACTTAGCACAAGCTAAAGCCAGGATGAGGATGTACGCCAATGGAAATAGAACTGAGAGAAATTTCCAAGAAGGTGACTGGGTATATTTTACATCCATATCAGCAGCAGACTCTTACTAAGAGGAATAATCAGAAGCTCAATCCTAGGTATTATCAGATTGAAAAGAAGATTGGAAGTGTAGCATATCGCCTTGCACTTCCCAGTCAAGCAAAAATTCACCTGGTGTTTCATGTATCATTACTTAAACAGAAGATATGAAGCAAAGAAATGGTTGTAGAACAATTGCTGGCTGAAGAGAAGGATGTAGAACAACCAGAGGAAGTGCTTCAAACTAGAATTTACAAAAAATGAAATCGTGCCGGAGCTCAATGGCTAATCAAATGGAAGGGGCAGACCACAGAAGAGGCAACTTGGGAAGATTCAGATGACATACAGAAGAAATACTCTAATTTTAAACCTTGGGGACAAGGTTCATTCAAGGAGGGGGGGTTGTCATGATGAGGCAGTGGCAATACAATGGAAGAGTTGGGGAGAAAGAAGGAAAAGAACCAACCGTAACTAGCTTTTAGAAATGGGGTCCACAAAAGTGTCATTTTGCTTATTGCATTTCTTGTAAAGGGAATACAATTTCCATTCATTTTGTATTTAACTTATATATGTACAGAACATGGGAGAAATGGGTCTCTGTGTTGATGTAAAATCATTTCTATCAATCAATTATCTCTCTTATTTCTTCTACTTCTCGTATCTTCTTCTTCTTCTTCTTCCTCTAACTCTATCTTCACCCATTCTCAATTTTCATGATTAATTTAGTAATTGGACTGAGATCTTAACTCCTTGAGCTGTGATTATTAAGTTCGTACTGATTTTGAGTGAGTTCATTCCCAGGTTCAACTTCACTCATTATAGACACGAGGATTAGAGGTTTGAGATTTTAAAATTGTAAGTTTATAAAATGTGTTAAAAGTAAAACTTGGATGGCCACTCAAACCAATAGTACCACTTACTTTTGAATGATAAAGATGAAGGGAAAAATTCATAAACCATGTATTAACTATGCACAATTCAAAGACCATGTTTTAAGTTTAACTAATGCAAAAATCAGGTTTTTATTTAATTAATTAAAAATATTTATTACTTGAATATAATAAAGTCATAATAATACAATTAATGGTCACGTGTACACAATTAAGGTCACAGATTTATTCACTGGTCACATATCATCAAATTAATTGGTCACGAATTATTTCGAGGTCACAAATCACAATTTATCTAACGATTTTAGAGGTCACAATTTATGTTATTTGTCACAAATTTAAAAAATTATAGGTCACAAGTCACATATTTTTAAATTTGATGGTCACAGATTAGTTTTTTAGTCACAAAATGATCGAATTTGAAAGTTACGGATTAATAGTCAGTCAGGCACTGAATAGTTGGTCACAGACACCAAGCACCCAATCCAATCCACGACAATACCACCACCACCTCCACCGTCACTGGCCATCGCCCTCACCCCGTCACCATCGCCACCAACACCAAAAAATTGACGACCACCACCGTAGTCACCTACAACATAGTCACAAACACTAACAAACATCCCTACCCCAAGTCGTCTCACCTACAACCATCGCCACTAACATTACCGCCAATGCAACTACCACCTCCACCGCACCATCACCACGCCGTCCCTGCTACAACAACCACCAACATTATCATCGCCTCTACTGCACTAGCACCACCACCACCACCACCACAAGATAGCCACCATGTAAACACCATTACCACCACCACAAGAAAAACCATCCAAACCCACCACACAACTGCCAGATCCACCACCACACAAACACTACACCATCACCACAAAACACCAAGCTGGTATAGTGCTTCGCCTGTGAATAGTCGTTGGAGTGAGTCTGCTTCGCGACGGTGTAGTGAATCTGCTTCATGCTGACTGGTACAGTGCTTCTCCTGTGAAGATGCTGCTTCATCGCCGCCACCGTCATTTCACCATTGCAACTCGCGATGATTCGTGAAAGGAAATGTGTGGTGGCGCAGTGGATCTGCTTCTCGGTGGCTTGGTGTATCTTCGCCGTGACATCTCCTCTTCATTACAGCAGCACTAGCGACGGTGGTCCTGAAGGAGAAAATTTCAGATCAAGATGCTGTGCTTTTGCCTGAGCGAGCTAGTGAATGATCGTCACCATGAGTAAGGCGGTGGATTGTTGATGTGGGTGGTGGACTCCGGCAGTTGAAGGCGGTGGATTTTTGATGTGGGCGGTGGACTTCGACAGTTCAACGGATAGGGTAGCTAGAGAGATGGGAGAGAATGGAAAGAGGGAAATTGATTTAGCCTAGGGTTTGTAGATATATATATTTTTAATTATGAATTTCAAACCTGAAGTTTGATTAAATAATCTTTGTACCCGACTTTTGCAGAATGAAGTTTAAATACTGGTAGCAGTGTAATTTCCACAAAGATGAATCTCTGCTAGGACTAAGTTGTATCAAAATGGGTTGAGCTGTTCATGTCCAAAACGATCTACGTAGTTTAAAAATTGAATCAAATAGGGCCAATATAAGGATTAATATGCCATAATGAACGAGTTGTGTTGGTAATTAAAAAAAAAAAAAAGGAAGAGTATAGGTTGGGCTGATCCAAACTTGCAATATTGGTTAGTCTGATCCTAGCCCAATCAGTTTTTTTCAGAATGTAGTATTCAAGTCCACAACGAGCCAAACCACGAGGATGTTGATCCAGACCGATCTACTCATTTTGACGGTTGACCAAAAAGTGTACTCAATTGTCATTGATATTCTCTACAGGTAAAAACCCATTGACGCATCATGGATTTAATTAGTGTGCATATTCTTGCTTTCTTGTATGCTATTCAATGTTCCAAACAAATGACAAACTACAAGTCTAGAATCAAAGCAAAGGATAAACTCATTCAAGGCTTTTGGAATATCAGTTAAGGTGGCCTTTTCTTCATCCTTAAAAGCTACATTAATTCCTTCAAGTACGTTCATTCTTCCCTTCACCTCAGCATATTTCCATGGAAGATCTTACCTTAACTCAAGAAGATGGTATGCATGTGTTTATACCTATTTTTCTACCTCGTAATAAGGATCTTTTTTTTTTTTTTTCACCTAATGGTAATTATCCCTTCTTTGGTTTATGTTCTTTTGGGTACTTAACTAGGGGTCTGGAGGTCAACCTCAAATACGCCACCTAGTCACTATGTGATGAAAATTCAGTTATTTTCCCAACTCGCAAAGAAAAAAATAGAGACGTACCATTCATCTGATTTTGAGGCTGGAGGCTACAAATGGTACAATAATTATATATGTACTTAATTATAATGTATAGGCGTGATTTAAGTAGGAAATTAATATCCTGTTAATTTGCAGGAACTTGGTTGTTTACCCGAATGGAAACAAAGACAAAGGTATTACAGACCATATTTCCATGTACGTGGCGATGACACAAGTCGAGTCTCTCAATCCTGGCTGGGAGATTCATGCAAATTTTCGATTGTTTTTGCGGGATCAAAATAAAAACAATTATTTTACACTCGAAGGTATAAGCTACCTACACCTACCTATTAAATTTGAAATTAATTGAAGTCGGTTTAATTAATTGTTTGATAATCGAATGAACTAGATGTAGCAGGGAAACCCTTTCACAAAATGCAACTCGAGTATGGGTTCGACAAATTTGTACCTCTCACCCACTTCAATGATCCTGCAAAGGGATATTTGGTAAATGACATTTGTGTGTTTGGAGCTGAGGTTTATGTTACTCAAGAAAAACTCACTGGAAAAGGTGAGATTTTATCAATGGTCAAAGATGCCATTAGCTACAAACACACTTGGAAAATCGACTATTTCTCCAATTTAATTGGCGAATATCAAGACTCTCAACCATTCAATGCTGCAGATCAAACGTGGTATATATCCTTTTTAATCAAACTCCATCTCATCTCGACTATTTTCCCACGTTGTGTGAAAGTAAGATTGGTGGATGCAGGAAGATACAGTTATATCCGAAGGGGAAAGGCAGTGGAAAGGACAACCATATATCATTATATCTGGCATTGGCTGAACCCAAAAAACTCTCTCCCGCAACTAAGATGCACACAAATTTCACCATACGTATATTAGACCAAATTAATAGAATACATTACTTTGGTACAGGTAAATCACAACACATATGATATTGGCATTGCGAAGAATCAATAAACCTCCCAAGATAAGCATAAACAGTTCAAAAAATAATTCGTGTTCATGTGCTTTTGCAGATAATTACTGGTTCAGTGCATCAAATAATTTACGGGGTTGGCCAAGATTTGTGTCTATGAGTTATTTTTATATGAAATCGGCTGGTTTGCTGGTGAACAACAGCTGCATTGTGGAAGCAGAGGTTACAGTCAATGGCATGGCTAATGTACTTTGAGAATGCATTTCTACATTGAAGTAAAGGATATTGCTTAATAAAATATTTTCCTTTTGATGAAATAAAAAGGGAAATTGGTAGTCATACTGCAATAGGTCTTCAATATAATTGTTGTGTGACATGCTGATTTACCACTACGTTATGTAATAAAAAAAATCTAAATAAGAAAGGACAAGATATGGTTATAACCCTATTTTTACGATTTTCGTTTTTTATTATTTGCTCACAAATTGTCAATTTCTACTAATTTGGGATGACGAGCATTGAAATGTGACATAGTAGTGAAATTTTTTATGCTAAATTAAAGTTTAGTAACACAATTGTGAAGAGTAAAGTTTTAATCTTGTACGCTGATTGTGCTGAATGATGTACCATAAATATGGTTGTGAATCCACTAAATTGATATTAAGCACCACTTGTGACAAATAACATTATTGGAATAGAATTTCTAAAATGTTTGTTTATACAATACATAACGTTTGAATAAAACAACGAAAAATTAAATAGTTTCTTTCCCAAATAACAATTTGGTGATTTTTAGAAGTTGAAACGTAGAGGTGTAAGCGGTCCGGTAGAGGAAATTTTGACATATTTTCAAGCTAAATAATTTAAAATGATTTTAGAAAATCCAAAACATAAATCAAACAATTTAAAACGGTTTTACATTTTTTTCAAATATAAACTAATGGTTTGATTTTATTTTAAATTGTAGTTTCATCGTATATTTTTTCTTTCTGTTCACTTTAACACCAATTCATTGACCAACAAAATATATTTCTATTTGGCAATGTAATATAAAACAAACTATATGTATCAAACTATAAAATCTAAATGCCACCAAAACGACATCAAAGTTATTACAATATAACAATAACAAAAAGTTTTGTTCACTTTTTAAGAAAAATTCATACAAAACAAAAGTTAATACAATGTGACAACAATTTAGTGATGGCAACGGGGCGGGGCGGCGGCTTACCCCATTTGCCGTCCCATTTATTTTTTTATTACTTTATTTTTTATTTTTTCTTTTCACGGGACGGGGATGCACTCGTCCTATTTCAGCTGCATTGGGGGCAGGGCAAATTGTCATTCTTAGATGACAACAAGGCCATGTTTACAATTGATTTAAGAGCTCAACTTCTGATTATCAAACAATCCACATCTATTCACATGTTTGATAAATTTAAGAGGAAACAAATAAATAATAATAACAATAATAATCTAATTATGAAAGATTTGTACCATCTGACAACGGATTTTGAGAAATAGCAAAATGCTTGATTCTGCTTTTAGCATTTTCCATTATTTATCATTAAAATGTCAATTTTTTAACCCCAACGAACAACATTAATTCAATTACCGTTTAAGTTATTGTTAATTTACATTTATTAGTATTCTACAATGATAAATTATCATTCCTCATTCACGTAAGAAATAATCTTCTAATTTCATTTTTTCTTGGTGACATATCAAATATATTTTCTAATTTTGAAATCTGTAGATATTAATATTTTTTCTGTTTAAAACAGCCATGGTGAATTTATTGTCTCAAACAAATATTTAAAAATAAAATAATACATAAAGCAGATGATCAGTATAATCGATATTTATTTTAATAGTGTATATTGACAAAACATTTAAGCACTTTAAGGCTCAAATACTTATCTTGAAACATAAATCGGTTCTGTAATAAAATTGACCGAACACTCAGTTTATTTTTTCCAGTAGCTAATTATTCCTTAAGCAGACCTAAATTTGATTATCTTAAAATCTATATCAAGACCAAAGCAAACCTAAAATTCTAATTGAAAAAGATATATAAAGTCTATTGACACACTAAAAGTGAAGCTCAAATCAAATAGCCCAAAGAGTGAAGTCCAATTGGGGAGTTCAGGATAAAGGTCCAAACAGGATTATTGATGAATGAAGTGGAAGTCCACGAACACAGTAACATCATCGCTCAAACTTGCAAGACGCCCAGAATTTGAGCGAATGGAATGTCTTACGGTCGCCCAGAGCGAGACCCCGTTCTCGCCCAAACTTTCGAATCGCCCAAGATCTTAGCAAATATAAAATATTATGGTTATCTAGAATAGCAGTTATTGAAACAGTTATTAAGTAATCTTATCACATTCCACGATTCAAGGAGCCCAGTCGAAGGCGGTTGAACGACAAAGAGTAATGGCAGCAATTAGAGACGGCAGTTCCACTACAAGTTAGCCACCATAAAAAAGTGGGTAGTTATAAAGCGATCAAGCGGTTTCCAAGCGGTTTGTCATGAGAAAATCATCAAGGGAATATAAAAAGGAAGAGAAGACATAGAGAAAAAAAGGATAAAACACTTTCAAACAGAGAATATGTAATTTTAATTTCTTAGCTTAAATTTAAACATTTCTTTTAGTACTCGTGTGCTTTCGCCCCTTGGAGGCATTCTGTTTATTTTCAATTGTAAATCATCGCCAATAAAACACCCCTTTTTGAGACTTTATCTCAAGAGGTATGTTCCTTACACAATCGCCTGATCCCTTTTTTAATTGTTAGCGACTACCCGCGCGAAATAATTTGGCACGCCCAGTGGGATCTTGGTGTTTGGTGTTGAGGATACAAAAAGTGAAACAATATGCCTCACAAATTTGATAAGGAAGCAGCAAGTCAGGGAGGAGTCCAGTCTGTGATCGAGCAATATGAGGAGTAGCAAAGCTCTCCACGAGCAGAGGGATAGAGTCAGAGCAGTCACAGTCGTTACGAACCAATGACAGAGTTGAGTCCTCGAACCATGAGTGCATTGCTTGGAGAACTCACACAGGATGTCGTTGAACAGGTAAATCTACGAAATGTTCATAATATGGAAAGATTTACCCAGAATAGGAATGCAATTATGACAACATGGCCAAACAACTGAATACATTAAATGAAATAATGAATAAGTTAGTAGGCCAAATTTGTCAGCCAGTTGTGCCTATTGCAAGTCACTTTCAAGCTAGAACAATTATAGGACATAATTTCCCAGTCCTAAGTCCAAATCAAGGGATAGAACCACCTTTTGGTCCGTTTACTTCAAACCAGGGGATGCTGTAATGCCAAATCAGAATAATGGTAATGATACATCTAACTTGGGGGCTAACCTAAATGTAAGAGACAACGTCCTAAATAATGGACAGAATACCCCACATGTTAATGATGGAATAAATATTTAGGCTAATGGTAACAATGGCCCAAATCATGGTAACTTTGTTGCCAATCAAGGACCAAATATCAGGCCTCAAGCAAATCAACCGATCAACCAACCTGTAGGAATTCCATGTGACCCTAACGTCATGTTGAAAAATCAAATTATGGAAATAGTATAGGATCAAATGGCTTTTGGGGTACGTCGTGTAATAAGGCCAACTTACACAAAGCCATATCCTGATTGGGTAGACAAAGCATATCCATGGCCTAGAGGGTATAAAGTGCCAGAATTCTCATTATTTATCGGTTTGAGATATCTACTTTAGAACACATAGGGCGATTCACACTGCAAAGTGGTGAAGTAACCGACTACCATAAAATGAGGTTGTTCTCTAGTTCATTAACAGGAGTAGCTTTCTCCTGGTTCATCAATTTTCCAACGAACTCTGTTCAAACATGGCAACAATTGGAGCAATTGTTCCATGCTCAGTTTTATAAGACTGAGTCTGAAGTTATTTTGGCCGATTTGGCGAATCTACGTCAAATGCCAAACGAATGAGCAGAAGGTTTCCTTCAAAGGTTCAAAACAGCAAGAAGCAAATGTTTTGTACCTTTACCCGAAAAAGAGTTTGTTAAAATCGCTCAAAGTTGTCTAAACTTTGATTTGAAAAAGAAATTCCAAGACAGGGAATTTCCTGATCTTTTTCAATTGAGGGCAAACGTGATTAGGTATGAACGATTAATAAGAGAAGAAGAGCAAATGAAAATTTCTAGCAAGGGGACTTATTATAGGGACCCAAATTTTGATGTTCATACTATTAATGACGAGTATCACGATCAAACCGAAATGGCTAAGCCCAATCGTCGGGCAATGATGAGCCTATAAAAAATGAAAACAAAAAGGCTAGAACATTCTCGTTCGATGTAACCAAAGTTGACCTTATATTTGATAAACTATATAAGGATAAGCAGATAAAGTTGAGCGATAAACATAAGTTGTCAAACTCTGAACAAATCAAGGGTAAAAAATATTTTAAGTAGCATAATGCATGGTCACATTTGACTAACAACTGTTTGATTTTTCGCCATGTGTTGCAGGACGCCATTGAATCAAGACGAATTACGTTCGAAGATAAGAAGAAGATGGCAGTGGATAAAAACCCTTTTCCACAGCCACTTGGGGTGAACATGGTGACGATTGGTTTCAAAAATAGGTTGCCAAAATTCAAGTTGGTTATAGACTATGGAGAGGAGGACCCTGGGCCACACCCCAGTGTCTTTGAACGTATCAAAGGGAAGGAGCCTAAAAAGGATGAAAACGTCCTGTGTGCAAGATGTAAAGGAGAAGTGAGTGCAAATACAGAGAAACCAGGGATATAGCAGTATCACCATCGCCCTAGTTTTTTCCCAAACGCTCAGTCTGTTAGAGGGCGAGGTACATCATTCTATAGGGGATAGCCTTTTGAGGGGCAGTTCAGGTCAATAAATAATGGGCGAAAATTCAGGCCGCAACCTCGCCAACCAAATGTATGACAGTCGTTCCAGTATAATGCAGGAAGGGTGATACCCTTCAATGAGATGACTAGAACCCAACAAAGGCGTTTTCAACGAAATTATGGATGAATGATGAGGCAACAACAGGGAGTGTCATGTCCTAAAGCACCTAAACTACTCAAGGCAGCCAATGAAAATGTTTTCGAAGACAGTGAAGAGACTGGTACAGGTGAATCGATGGAAGAATTGCCAGAGAATTCTTCTGGGAGATCGAAGTTTGGGCGAGATAGAAGGGATAAAGAAGATCCATATCAGCCTCTTACTATTCAGTACAGTACGTTACCTCCTGTCATGGCTAATAACTATTTACTAGCCAATGAGTTCGAGAACAAAAAGAAAGAAGAAGAAGAAAAGGAGGATAACGAAGAAGAAGCATGTGTGCTGGAATGTGAAGAAGGCAAACTTTTAGAAAGGCCTACAATGATGAAGAGGATGATGGTATGACGGACATCGAAGAGTAAATTAATC